GGCAAGTGCAAGGGCCTGAGTTCAATCCCCGGTTTTAGAAAAAAAAAAAAAAAAAAAAAAAAAAAAAAAAAAAAAGAAAAAAAAAACTTGAATTTAAAAATGGATAGGGAAGTTTTTACTACATTTTAATCAATTTGTCAAGAACTTAGGCCAAATGTATGTTTTAAGTAGAAAACCTATGTGAATTTTATTGTTTTCACTGCTATATAGCACTCTTGTACCTATCTGTTTATTTACTTTACCTTATTGCCCAGTGGCATTCTGTAGTGAACTCAAGTTTACAGAATCCTAACTTCAGTAGTAAATCTTGTTCTATCATAAGCACACTGGAGGAAAAGGGTTAGCAGTTGACTTTATCTCAGTGGGACTTTATGTTAGAGGGAATTTAAAAAGTCAGTGCCACTTAAATTGTTTTCGCTATGGAGTTAGCTGGTAGTGTTTCAAACTCAGTTAAAAAGTTTAAGACTTTAGTATTTGCATGCATATTAAGAGCTTGTATGTGTTCATAAATAATGAGACTCATTTAAGACAGTGTACTATTTCAAAGAAAATTTAAGATTATTAGAATCAATTGTCTAAGAGCCATACTAATATTTTTAGGCTTAACTTTCATGGAAGAAGATGGGTTTCCTAGCAAAACTTTGGGAATGTACTTAGAATCTTGCCAGAATGTTGAAGGCATATTTTGACCTATGCAGAATTTGCCCAGTAGAGAAAATAAATAAAAAGGAAACAATTAAAAATATATTCATACTGGAGTAGAGAGTATTTTATTATTTTTTTATTTTTTGGCAGAACTAGGGATTGAACTCAGCGCTTGTGCTTGCCAGGGAAGCGCTTATTCCATTGAGCCATCTCCCTGGCCCTGGAGTACAGAGTATTTTGACTAGCATTTTACAAAGTTATTTTACAAACCAAACAGATATAATCTTATGAACCTGCTTTGTGAATCAAATATTTTGAATGTATTGAATTTATTTCCATGAATTTTATTTATGTACTTTTGTGTAGTCAGACTTTTTGCAAGAAAGCTCTGTGGTAGGTTCTATCCAAGCAAACAGAGATTAGCAAAATTCATCACAACTGGGTTCTTCCGTGGTCTTCTTGGTATACAAGCAGAACAACCTGTTCAGGAACCCAGATCCAAGGGTTAGGGAGATTTAAGTTTGAATTCCAGCAATTCCTTGCACTGGCTGGGTCACTGGCCACGTTAAATTCTAGGCCTCAGTTTTCCATTTGTGGGATGGAGCCACTGTTGAGCCTTGTGGAACCATTAGGATGACACTGTCAGGGGTTGTAAAATGCTAACTTTTAAGCCAAGTATCCTTTAACCTATACTTAATGCTGTAGCTTTGAAAGCCCCAGTTTCTATTTTTTGTATTTTCTTTTCTATCTTACTCATATGCTTTCTTATCCCCTATAAAATATAAGGTACTATTCTGACACTCTATCACATAGTTAGCTTTCATTTCTTTACCTAAAAATGAAGGAAGCAGATTGAATCCCAAATATCCTTTTCATTCCAACTCTTATACATGCGATTTCTTTCCAAGTTTCAATTCGATATTTGCGTTTTCCTGCTGAGCATTTCTACCAGTCCTTAGCCCTCCTTGTCTGTCTGCAGTCTTTGGTGAATTTTTTCCATTCACATACATTCTGTCCACACTCTCCTGCTTCCTGGATTTTAGCCTCGACATTAGTTTTCATCTCATCTACCATTTCACTACTGCAGAAATGGGCCCAAGCGCCACAAACCATGTCCTTCTCCTTCACTGTGCCAGTTGCCAATCACTTTTTTTTTTCCTGTTAAGAATTCAGACCCTTTGCTCCCTATCAGGTGTCTCTGACTCCAGTCCCTTTTTTGTTTTGTTTTAATCTGTTCCCCACTCTAATTAGACCTGCAGATTGTGCCTACAGTCTGTTTTGTCGTCCATTATTGTCTTCACACAGTCCTCATTGCACCAGGCTGCCAGGAGGTACAGTTCCTTGTGCTTGTCCCATGATTTCCTGCCTATTTGTCCATGTCCAGAGAGTGACCTCTGTTTTGCCACTGTGGCACAGCTGTGATAACACCCATTCCTGGAGTCATTCCTTCTTGCCAGCCAGAAATCATCTCAACCCTTACACATCCATTTTATCTGATGATATGATCAGTTTCTGTTGCATTGCAATTATTTGTAGTAAAGTATTAAACTCTAAACTACTAAGGAAGTGGTGAATGTTTAGATTTGTGTCTTTATCTCTCTGCTAATTAAAATGCCTGTATGTAATGAAGACTCCATACAAAGCTGTAGAAAAGGCAGGGCGTGTAGCTCAGTGTTAGTGTTTATACTTAGCATATGGAGATCCTAGGTTTAATCTCCAGCCCTGAAGAGGAAAATGAGGCATGGAGAAGGGCCTTAGAAAGACTGTATCATATGCAAAAACCTGCATTTTTGAAAGATAAACCTGTAATTGTTTAGTTTAGAAAGTAATCACCAAAAAGATGCAGCTGCTGCAGATATTATATGGTAATACATGCTTTCATGGGAAGTATCTTTATGTTGATTTTTAGAACCTTAGAAGAAACTAAGTATATAGCATCATGGGGAATTTTAATTCATGGGATTCTAACTGGTTTCCATGGACACCTAGGATTTCAGGGTATGAATGAGGGGAAAAGGATGGGGACGAGTCCTGCCTCCTATAAGCATAGTGCCTATTCAGCTGACCAAATCAGCTCCACTTTTATTTTTTAAAATATAGAATGAAAGTTCCATTACTATTAATTTTTTTAAAAGACACCTAATGGTTCCCATTAGAAGCTCCACGTTGCCTGGCTTCTTTGTAGTTACAGTTTTACAGTCTTTGGAGAGCAAAGACTGTATCTATTTTTATGACAGTCTTTGATGCATTGCAAATTAAGAGTTATATCAGAGCATGTTTTGTGAAATACTCATAGAGTTACGCATGTTTTCCCCCAGGCCAGGTAGATGGCAAGGCTCACTCATTCACCTGTTCCCCACTCTAAGCAGCATTTTCTGCATCGGGCCCAGAGCTGCACCTGTGATAAAGATGTGTATAAGGTACAGATCTGTGCTTAAGAAGAGCACAACATGAAGGGGCACAAAGGGCAGGGTGGGTGGACACAGGAAGATGAAAGGGTGCCAGTGGCAGGGAAGGGCTTGATGAGGCCCACTGACTAGTGGGAGGGCTTGGCTTTCATACCCCAGGCAATTACCATTTCTTTTTCCACGTTCCTTTGCTCAACTGTTCATTATTCCTAAATCATCTGTCTATTGAATTTCCTTTGTGCTGT